TACCTTATATAAGTACTTTAATAATAATACTTAAAATTTTAATACAAAATTTTTTTAAAAAAGAGTAATAAATGAAGTAGGAATATAATTAAAAAAATAATTATAAAATTTACTTAATATTCTATATTTTAGATCAAAAAAAGCTTTTAGAAGATATTTTATATTGTGGTTTGGAGGGAGTATAAGATGTTTTTAACTAAATTTTGCAAACTAATAAAATTTTGTTATTTAGTCAAAAGCACATAAAATCACAACAATTTCATATTTTTGCCTCTAATAATGTCAAAATTAATATCATGGTAGTGAGAATGTAAAACACACAATCGGCATCTTTCTCTTTTCATTTTTAGGCTACTTAGTTGGATAAAAAATAATAATCATGTTATATGCAAAAAATTCTTAGATGTACTCGGTTTACCATATCATTCATGGTCCATTTAATAAAATTACACTAATTCAATCAAATAAAGTTGTGTGTCACTATTTTTAATAATTTTTATTTTTATAATAGTATGCCTATTTAATTTATTATCTTTTCTCTCTTCATTATTATTAATATCAAAATTAATTTATATTTAATGGCACATAAATGTCATGTGTTTATTAAATGAATTATGGATGACATGTTGTATTAGTTCCATCTAAAACTTTCTTTGTTATATACATGCACATGCTTGAGTTGTTCAAATTAATTAGCTAATTAATTCAAGACTATTGACTAATGCTATTATATAAGATGCTCCATCGCGCTAAACATGCTTGTTCTTCATCTACATTCTTCCCTATAAAAGAGAGAATACATATATGGTGAATTATTGGTGATGCATATCGCACAGGGCGACGCCTAATGATTTGTTTTCTTGCCATTTTTTATTATTTATTGACATTCCTTTTTTCTAATAATATGTTCAGCCATCCGTACAACGAATTCTAATATGAAATTCGGGTCAGGATAATATTATATATATCTGATCCACAATATATGATTAAGACGTGATTATTAATCTATATATTTTATTGGTCTATTTTTTATTGTCCTGTGTATGTATTCTATAGAATGTAGGTACCTATTTGAAAAATGAAATTTCGGTAAGGATGATAATATTATTTGCATTATGATCACTATATATATATATATATATATAACTTCTGATGTGATTACGAGAATAATATAACAAATCGAATGGACAAAAGATATGATCCATAGTGCACCTGGGGACAAATTATAGAGTTACGGAGGTCATATTTGGAATGTATGCCTGGATGTATATTATATGATTCCCTATTTCTCTCTGATAATTAATTCATTTGCTTTGTCATCAGTCCGTCTTTGGGCATATAACAGTTGTCATGTTATTGTTTATAGTCGGATTCGGAATTTTTCAATTAAAATGTATACTTGTTTTGAATAAATTTAAATAGGCCAAATTAATAAAATAATTTATTTAGATATAGGTTTTGAATTCATTTTTGTTCTTTCCGCTCACTAATTAACTGAGTTTGATAAAAACAACCGCACTGGTTATTGAAACTTATATATATATACACAGACATGAATTAGTTATTTACTGCCGTGGGATAGCTTGTTTGCTTATGGTTGTTGGCACATTTGGAGAAACAGATGTACCCTCCTTTCTCAAGGGAATGGGGAGGAGCGGCTTGAAGATCCCTATGAGTTTTTATTTAAATTGGCTGCTGACTTTAGTTTGAGAAACCAATTTGATGCTTAGGGACTCTAAAGACGTAGGGAAACTCAACATAAAGTTCATACTGATGCTATCAGATTGGTAGTGGATGGTTTCACGTCTAGTGATGGGATGAGTGCTTGTGGTGCTGTTCTTAAAGACATGAATGGGAACCAGATATTCCTGGGTTTCACCTGGAATGTGTAACTTCATTGGATTTGATGGTACTTGGAATTGGGATCTTTTTCATAAAGATATCCCAGATAAGGTTTTGTCTATTATTACAAGTACAAAACCCCCGAGCTCACTTGATAGGAGTGTTAAGCAGTGTGGGATAGGAGCCCTAAAGGAGAATTCTTGGTGAAATCTGTGTCTAAGCTAATTATAGAGGATGATTGGAATTCCCAGGATGCTAAATGGGATGTAATTTGGAAGCATAAAAGCGCTTAAAGGGTGCGAGTGTTCTTATAGCTTGCTATTCAGGGGGCCCTCAAGACTAATGCAGAATGTGTTAGAAGGTATATGGCTAGCAATGACCTTTGTAAAAGATGTGGCAAACACAATGAACATATTGATCATATTCTCCTACATTGTCACTTGGCTCGAGATGTATGGAGACTTCTCATTCCTCAGAGTAGATTGAGTTGCTTTCTTAATAAGCCTTTCGAGAAATCTACACATTTACAAGGACATGTTGCTAATAACGATCTAAATTCCACTTTGGCATCTACTTTTGGTCTTATTTGTCGGAAACTGTGGGATGCTCATAACAAATTTATCTTTCAAAATGTTTCCTTGTAGGGGGACCAATTAGCAGCTGAAGTACATGTGCCAATAGATTTTACTCTTAAGGTGAGAGATGCTATTTCGAAAGCTTAGGGAAGTGGCTCAATCAAATTTGTGCATAACATTAGATGGAAGAAACCACCTCCAGACTGGGCAATGCTTGGTGCACTCAAAAGTAGCAATGATTGGGCAGGTGCGAGATGCTTACTTCACACAATGATGGATTTTGGCTACATGGATAAAGGTCACTTTAAAAAATTTAGAATGGTGGAGGTATTTTGTGATTGCTCGCATGCTATTTTAACAATCACAATTATCATTCTTTTCATGATATTATTGATTCTATGAAATAGATCCTTTGTAAACAATAGGTTGTTCATTTTAATTTCATATATAGGGAGGACAATAGGATAGCAAACTCCCTAGTAAAGTTGACATTTAATCTTTTTTATATCCCACCCGTTTAATTCCTTCTGAGTGTTTTGAGTTTCTTGTTTCTTTGGGTTAGTTCTATTATTTCTTTGCTTTGTTGTTGTATTCTTTGAACCTTTTTGATTTATATAGTTTATCATGTTTATACTAAAAAAAATTATTTACCTATCAATCAAAGATTAAGTCACAAAATCCCTTCATTTTTACTTTATAATGTTTTAAACTTAACAATTTGTAACACCCATGAATTTTATTCACAAAAAAATTAATATTTTCAATTGAGATCTCCTATTTTCTAGGATGGGTAAAATGGAAAGAATAGTATATTAACAAAGAAAACAAAATAATTAAGGGAAATTCAATGTAAAGGATCTAGTTAAAAGAGAAATTGTGCCCAAGAACCAAGTCCAATTCAAGAACCAAACTAAATATTTTATTTATGAAACAATATGAACAAATGACCAAAATGTCCCTTTGTTTAAGCAAACAAAATTAAAAACAGAAAGGCTGTCAGTTTAACACATGCACTTTAAGTTAGAAGCTTCATACCTAAGTCAAAAACCTTGCATCCTAGCTAGAAGCTTTGTACTCCAAGCAAAAGCCTTGCACCAATGTTAGAAGCCTTGCACCCAGGTCAAAATCCTTGCATCCCAGGCCAGAATCCTTGAACCAAAACTAGAAGACTTGCATCTCAAGTCAAAAGCTTTGCACCTAAACAAGAAGCCTTGCACCCTAAGTTAGAAGTCATGCATCCAATCTAGAAGCCTTGCACCTATGATAATAAAAATTACAACTTATTTTTTTGGCTTTTAGCTTGGGGTGCAAGACTTTTAGCTTGTGATGCAAGACTTATGGCTTCATTGCAAGGCTTTTAGATGGGGTGCGAGGCTTTTGGCTTTGGGTGGGAGGCTTCTGGCTTGGGGTGCAAGACTTCTAGTTTGGAGGCTTCTAATTTGGGTGCGAGACTTCTGATTTAAGGTGCATGTGTTGAACAAGCAACTTTTTTTTTTTTATTTCGTTTGTTTAAATAGAGGTGCATTTTGGTCATTTGTTCATATTGTTTAATGAATAAAATATTTAGTTTCATCCTTGAATTCAACTTTGTCCTTGGCACAACTTATCTTTCAACTAAGTCCTTTTTACCAATTTTCCCAATAATCAACCTAAATACCCTAATTACTAAAGAAGCGTGTTCTTTAATAAATTATATTTGTGTCCAAACCTTGGGTCAGCACTTCAAGAAATTTCATTCTCCTATGAACATACCAAATTAAACCAACATACATGTGAAGGTTGTCTTTGATCATAACGCGCAGATCAGTTCATATATATATATATCAAAAGAAAACAAAATTGAATTCGTTTTCTGTTTTTGTTTATTTCAGTTACTTTCACCTCTGTTATTTAGCCTAGCTAGCACCCTCATGCCAATCATCACTTCGATTTTTAAGCTGTACTACAGTACCACTGAGTTTGATGTTCCATTATTTCTCATACACCAAGAGATCATCAAAACAGCTAAAACGATTACATTATTTTAATTCGATTCTTCTAATTCGCTGCATTACAGTTTCACAGGAAAAGGCACATGCAAAAATGCAAGGAGAATCCAAGAATACAATATTCTCCAGCATCATGTTCATATTTATATACACAATGCAGGCTCTGTTCTGATATGCTTGTCTGATAGAATAATACAAATTAGATTTAAGAAAGCAAATTCTAAGAACCTCAAGCCTCCTTGCATTTTGGCCCCCATGTGAATTATAAAATTATAAGATTAAAGAGCAAATTTATTCTTAATACATGTTCTGGAAGATCTTGAACTCATTTTTATTGTAATGTTCCTCTAAACATTTAATAATATTTAAAAATGATGATAAAAATTAACTTTGACAATTAATTAATTAAAAAATTAGAGTGGAAAACGTCAAAAATTATATAAAGTGGCACATAAAATTACATATAATTTTATCATTTTTTATAAATTTTAAGCTTTTTTTTGTATTTTCTGATCAACTAATGATCAAAATTAATATTCATTAATGGTACAAGTAATACCATCTTCAAATGTTGAAAGGAATACTCTACCAAAGATGAATTTAGGGTACTAAATTGCTAATTAACTCTAAAATTATATTATATTATATCAGTTATCTAGTCTTTGATTTCACAAGGAACCAATGGGTAACAAAACCCAAACATGCATATTGTTGAAAGATTAATGAAAGCTGAGACATGTGTATTGTGAGAGAACACACATAACCTCCTGATACAGAATATAGAAGCGAGAGAGAGCGAGATGGATCACAAGATGAAGATGGTTCGAGGGCGATCTGAGCCGAAGCTATGAGGGTAGGCGGAGAAGGTGACGCCGGCAGGGACAGCGAAAGTGGACTCCATGAAGAGCCTCTGCTGAAACGCTTCAATGGTGGCACCGGCTTCCACCATGTCCTTCACCAGATTTCTATAATACTCCTTCAGATTTCTCAGCATCCGACGATACTGAAGCTTCACCCACTTCACCCTTATCTTCTTCAACATTCTCATCACCACAAATACTCCACGCCGCCCTGTCCTTTTCCCGCCCAGCCGCACCGTCTGCACCTTCCGCCGACGCTGGAGGGGCACCCGGCGGCGGAGATACCATCGCCAGGTGTTTAGGTCATGGGTTGGAGTCGGAGGAGAATCTTCGTGACGATCAATGGCCATAAGTGAGCATGTATGGAGATGAGAGAGAGAGGGAGAGAAGGTTGACTTTGCCAAGAAGGGGAAGAAGCAGGCGTCCTTCTAGGCTCTAGCGAAGGGGGCTTATATAGAGAGGTTTGGGATCTGCCCAGCTTGTTGTATTGTGTAAAAAAAAAAAATTGGTAATATTCAATTGGTTTATTAAAGCCTGTTTTTTAATTTTCTTTTTTCTACCGCCGTTAGAATAACATCTGTAAAAAGAACTGCACTGTTTTCAAAATAAATGTATGACTTGCATATAATATCTATGAGGTAAACTTATTTTTAATCATTCTAGTATAATTTATTGACATTTTTAACCAAATAATTTATATTAGAAAAGCTGTTACAGTTGTAGCTCACAAAAGTTGATTCAATTGATAAAAATAAGATATATGTACACTGCAATTTCTAGACCTCACAAGCATAAATTGGTAAGCAATATAAACGCTTTTTGAGTTTAAGAGATATATGTATCCTGATTCATGAACGAGCCTAACTCACACCAAAAAAAAAATTAGTTGATGTCTTATTTTGTTGAAAATTAGTGTAATAGTTCAAAATTCCTCTTAATTAAAGTTATATAGTTGGGACTCTCTTTTTTGCTCATAAAGTTTAGAAATCCTACAAAGTTTAATTTCATGAGTATTGCCAATTTTTTATAAGATGAATTACATTGCTTAGATAAAATAAACTTTTAAAACGTGTGTCATCTGACTAGGATAGAAGAGTCTACACATAAACAAATGAACAGAAAATATACAGATTATCCAATCGAAAACAACAACAGTAACTATTATATATAGTCTCATGTAAGCAAGAGTGAAGCCATAGTAGATTTTATTTGTAACAACAAATTTGACGATATAATCTAAAGGATTGTTTGAGGTAGTTAATTAACGTTGAAAAAGCAGGGCCGAGAATGGGGACCAAGCAGTGGTTTGGATTGATTAGGGGCTGAGGGCATAGGGTTTTGGAAAAATATATATATAATTCATGGTGAGAATCAGAGGAAATAGTGGTCACACTCTTTCACATGCTGATCCTTTGTATATTTTGCGTGTTCCACCTTACATGCACTGTTGCTTCCCAGACTTGTCACATGCAAATCCCTCCAACTTCCAATAATAATAATAAATAACATAAATTCTTGTCTCTTATACATTATAAACACAACAGACAATCTTGGTTGGGAAATTGGGAATCTTAATGTTCACTTCGCAGACGCGGGAGAAGGATGGAGCCTCAGAAGTAAATGTCCAGAAAATCCATATATATATATATATATATATCAGTACTCCCTTTGATCACCAACTTCTTGTTCACTCCTTTTCCTACTTTCAGTCAGTGATTCAGTCACTCAACTGCTCCTTTTAACTTTCTCAAGCAAACACGACTTAATTCCATCAGTTTCATTCATGCTTGAGTTCAAGTTTGCGTGTTTGTGCTTTCTGGATGCTTGGCAAGCAAGCCTTATTCTGCCATTTGTCAGTCATGGCGACTGAGATGTTCTACTATTTTTATTTTTCATTCTGTGCTTTGATTGATTTCTCTTTTTAATATCTTAACCATTATTTTAATACTCCCTCCTATTACATAGTATATGAATTTTGGTATCTTCTTGATTTTCATGTTTTTCAAAATTGAGACCTACATACTAACATTGACGGAAGGAGCACCGCAAATTTTACCATGCGAATCATCAATTAATAACAATGGTGTCATCTTCGAAGAATCAAAGATAGGTTTGGCCAACCCCTCTGGCTTAGCCCATTTTCAGTTCTTTGACTCAAAATGCCGAAGCAAGATTACAATGACAAAACGACAAAAAAGTACTAGTAATTAATAATAAAATAATACGCACACAAATTTGCTTGTGGCTTTTGAATTATTTATTTGATGCGTTGGCAAAAAAAAAAACAAGAAGAAGAATTATTTATTTGATGCTTGATACTTCCTGATTTTAGTCTAAAACATGAGCATTTTTTAATTAATTTTAATTTAAAATATAAGTAATTTAGTATATATAAATTTTTTTTATTTATTTTTTGTATTTATTAACACATATTTTATATAAATATGTCTCATTATAAAATATATTGGTAATTGACACTAAAAATAAAAGAAAAAAATAATACTCCCTCCGTTCAAACATATAAGTCATTTTTAACTGAATCTCACTCCCAAAAGGATAACTACCTACTTTCAAACTAACCCTATATTCTTATATTTATTTTTATTAAATATTCTATAATAAATATAAAGTTATTATCAATAAAGATACTTTTTTAAAAAAGGGTAATGATTACACCTCGAAAGACTAAAAATACTTTACATTCTTGAACATTCAACTCCTCAAAAAATACCTTATATTTTTTAACGGAGAAAGTATATATTTTTATGGGAATAAAAAATTTATTAAATTGTGAATTTTTCTTAAAAATTACTTACATTTTGGATCGAAGATAGTATTTCTCATGAATTAAAGTATAAGACAATAAGAATTGTTGTTGTTATATATCAATAAATCTCAGTAACAATGATTTACAAATTTAATTTTAAAACAAAAATATTCTTTATTTAATATGATTTTAAATCTACTATACACTTAATCGCTATTCCCTCTAAATCATAATATAAATTACTGTTAACTAATTTTAATTTTTTAAAAAATTTAGTTGAATGTTGATTCTTTAAAAATTTACATATCTTTGCAATCATATATTTGCATGTAATATATATAATATTAAACTTGTCCAAAACATCCTCATTAATCTCTCACTAAAATAAAGGTATAATTGAAATATGCATATGTGTATAACATATATCCAATGTCTTATATTTTAAATCAAGCAATATTTATAGAAAAATAACTTGTATTATAATTTGGAAGGAGTAAATCAATCACTTTTTAGAAAAATTTAACAGTTTTAAATATAATTATTTTACTTGAGTATGTGATTCATTAATTATTTTATTTTGAATATACCCCCTTTTATCAATCAACCTTTTAACAAAGGAATAGAGTATATATTTTTTAAATTTATGGTATTTATTATCCCTTTGTTTCAAAACATAGATTTTTTTGAATATTTGCACACAGATTTTAAAAAAAATTACTATATAAAAATATTGATTACATTGTCAAATTTGCACCTAAATTTTAATAATGAAGCTTTGAAGTTGTTGAATTAAATAAGGATATAATGTAAAAAATATTAATAAATATTGTTTTGAATTTTTAAAAAGGATATAAAATGAAATAAAAGAGAATAGATGTAAGACTCCTAATCAATTTTAATTACATAAATATCTTTTTAAATTTTAGTGAGACATTTAAAAATTACTTGCAATAAGATAAGGATGAGTAAATGCTATGCTAAGCTTTCTGATTTTCAAGGATTTTTTATTGAGAGAATGATAAGAGATTTTAAAAACATCAATTAATTCAAATTAAATTCTTAGTGTTAAACTCCACAAGTTTACAAGTTCAAATTTTAATTTTACAACTTTTTTATGGTGAATTTATAATTTTTATTTCAAATTTTAACAAAGAAAATAAATTTGTTTATTTTTTAATTATGTTAATATTTAAAAAATAAATTGTAAATTTATCACAATAAGGTTGAAAAATTAAAAGTCAAATTTACAAATTCCTAAAATTTGACTCTTAAAACCTAATTTAAATTAATTGGTCTTCTTAAAACTTATACGTCATTATTCCTTTTTAACCTTTCTCTTTTAAGATGTACTCTCTTTAGTCTAGTTTATAATGCATGACACTTTACTATGCGTATCAAGCATATTAAAGAAATTCAATGTTTTCTGAATCTCATAAAAAATTGGCTTATTGTTCTAGTTTTGCTCTTGTCCACGAACAACTTCTTATGCAAATTTATTAAGTACACATCAACCAACATAAGGGTAAAAATAAAAAGATTTTTTTTTTTTTGCTTTTAATAAAAAAGATATTTCTTAGAACTACACAATGTCTACATATTAAACCGACAATCTGCTGTAGAAAATGTCCTATATTATACAGGAGGAAGTAGTAACAAACCAATAGCAGCAATTTGCATAAAAATTCAAAGAGAAAGAAAGATTTGAGAGAATTAGCCCTCAGCCCCTCCACACACACACACACACACACACACACACATTTAGACACACACTAATTTCATAGGAGGCGGGCATTTAGCAAGAGATTCGTGTCAAGGCAGCTTTCTTTGACAGAAATACTGTATACTCATCAGAAGGAGGGGGAAAAGGAAGATGGAGAAGATGTAGTATGTTAATTTGAGCCTGGATCATGGATGTCAAGTTTCTTGTATTATTGATGACAGCGTCTATGGCAACATTTGTGTACACAACACTCACAGGAAAAGCACACAAGACAGTAAGCACAACGTTTCACAATATTGCAACAGCTCCGGACAGTTTTGGTCTTCATGCAGCAGCCCCTTCCACAACAAACTTTTACCGTTCTCTTAGGAAGCACACATCTGGTGCGGCAAACCCATGGAAGACTCACAAGACACAACAAGCTTAACCTGCTGATTATTGATTACCATGTGATTGTACATTTGCATTCAACATAATACCTTCAGTCTTAACCAAAGACCGTACTTGTTATCCTTTCTGACTGGGAATGATGATAAGAAAGAGAGGAGGCAAGAATTAAGTTACCTGATGTGCTTCCAAAAGCTGTGGGATTTGGTGATTCTCTGACTTCTGTTTGGGAAGCAATGATTATCTCAGTAATTCATAAATTATAATTAATGAGTATATCAACAAAATTTTTTGAAGATTCATACGTGGGTGTGAAAGGATCTGAACCAGACCCTACAAAGGTATCGAGCCTGTCAAGAAACATGTCTATCTTCAGATAAGCATTCAACATGTATTAATGAGAAACTGAAAGGAACTCGTGATCTTATCAGAACTGTCCATCAACGAGTAGATACGTAAGTTTATAATATCAGATTCAGTTTTGCTCCATGATCTACCTCAGGATTTTGTATATGAAGCACTAAGGAAGAAAGGCTTACTCTTTGCAGCATCTAGAAGCAGGGTGAAGACCTTCAAGTGATTTTAACTCCTCCTGCGGGCAATACACGTGCAAGTATGAAACTGAGCTCCGTTTGGTTAATTGAAACTAGCTTCATGAAGAGTAAGTTGGTAAGCACAAATGAGGAGCCAACTAGATACATTATTTTGTGTTCTGTCTAGGACTGTTCAGATTAAACAAGCATGCACCAAATCTACACTGCTTCAACCACCACCTTCTAGTCTTAAGGTGGTGAATGATGAAAGGATTGTTAGATAGGTTTATGGTCTGTTTGTAACTTCTTGTATTTGATTAATGAAGTATTCAGTTATCATTCAAAAGAAAAAAAAAAAAAAACAATACTGCTTATCAGCAAATTCAGCAGTACATCTAGTAACAGTGAATAATTAACAGTAGTTGTTTTACTTCATTCGCTACGCAAGGTAATGAGTGATGTTACAACTTACAAGGAGTACTAGAAAATATCTCTAGCCAAATTGTGTAATACATTGATATCATGATTCTTTATTTTTATTTCAAAACTAAATGCTGGCACCACACGTTAAAGTATCATGACTAAGTCATATTATTCTTTATAACTTATGAATAGTATGATGAACTACAGATTTTATATGAATATATATTGGTATAATGATATATCATTGGATAAATGGTCTTAGAGTCAGCTTGTGTGCACTTCAACTAATTCAACCTTCTAGTTAGTCAAAATCAAGCAGTTCGCTATTCACAACAAAATTAGAAAACAAACAAGAAACTGGCTTCATTGTGACTAACATGAGCTAGTGAATCTAAACACACATCACATAGTTGCCTTCAATACTTGATCAACCGTCCCCTTCAGGCTTCAGTTAAGATTTTGACATGATATTTAACTACATTCTCCATATATATACCACACATGCAAATCAATTTGATGAACATTTTACATATAACTTCGTTAAAGCACACGACCTCAAGATGTTAATTAAAGCCATATTTGGTATTTCGGACTATCTCTAAATCAAAAATTGTTCTGAATAAAATCGTCTGTCGTAAGAAGTTCACTTATCTTGAATTCCAGACTCATCATCAACACAAGGTTTCCTAAATGTAACACGCTAGGCCAATTTTGACATAATAGTAGAGAATGCGATTGTGTTTTCGAAGCAGAAGGATATAAAACAGAACAGATCATTCGCATTGCCTCATGCAACTCCAAAGAAGAAAAAACAAAAAATGGAAAATGTTTTCACAAGAAAGAAAAGTTAATAAAAATGACCTGAAGCAAAGCGATCTCTCTCTCTAAAACCTGAATCTTAATCATCTGCTTCCGCCTCCCATAGAAATCCAAGAGCCCCGGCGGCGGCGGCGACTTGGGACTCAACGGCTGCTCCGTCGAACGACTCAACGAAGTCGACATTGACGCCAAGGACATTAGTTCAAAAGTGTTGTATCTCTACGTGCTAACTTCATACCCAAGCTGAATCTCAAGAAATGCAAAATACAGAGAGTCAGAGAATGTGAGACGCGAAAGAAGAGGTAGGCAGTCAAAAGTTGGAAACTTCGGAAGATGGGTTAGTGGCTTAGATTGAGTATTTTTGTAAATGAAGTTGAACTGTTCATATTCTGGGTTTCATGGGGAGCACTGTTGACTGTTGAGCTTTAGCCGAGAGAGCGAGCATGGAGATGGCAGGGACGGACGCACGTGACCGTGGAGGAGGAGAGTGAAAGCTGAGTGAAGACCGAGAAGGAACAATTGCACGTGAGGGAGAGTTGGGAATCGCGACGTTGCTGAAATATTAAAAAGTAGAAAAAGGACGATGGCTTTATAGTAAGGATGTTCACAGGACGGGACAGGACCGAACACTCCCGTCTCATGTCCCGTCCCAAAAAAAAGATCGGAATTAAATTTTGATCCTGTATCTCATCCCGTCTTTAAAGTCGTCCCGTCCCGTTAAGAGTTGGGACGGGATCGGGATAAGATCGGGACGTCCCGCCGTCCCGATAAATAGAATAATATCAAAAAAAGATCTGAATAATAATGTTCATTAAAATTTTAAATCATATAATTTAATAAGTTTAAAATCAAAACAACACAAGCACATAAATAACAATAATTTAAAATCAATTATTGAATTATATTAATCATAACTACATATTATAATAACAAATACAAGTGATCTTTATGCTATAAGATTAGCAACAACAAGCAAGTCAAACACAACATCAAATCATTATTCTTCTACTTTAGTAAAGATGTACTAAGCTAATTACTCTTCTAAAAATAAGCAAGAAATATGTTATAAATAAGGGTTATTAAATAGATAGATATAAGAATAAATTATATTAATATAATTAATATATTATAAAGAAAGATATCGTCATATTTACTCCATGTCATTAAAATTATCAATATAAAAAAATTTTAGTTTTAAATAAGAATTGCAAGTATTAAAATTATAATTGATATAATTAATATAAGTATAAATTATATTAATATAATTAATATATTTAAAATAAAAAATAATATATATAATATTCGGGACGGGACGGGACGTCCCGATGGTAATCCGTGTCCCATCCCATCCCGTCCCGAACCCCTTTCTTGTCCCGTCCAGTAAAGTCCCATCTCAATTATTTTCGGATCGGGACAAGACCCATCAAGACGATATCGGACCAATCAAAATAAATCTAGACTGAACACCCCTATTTTATACCATCGAGGTTGCCAGAAGACACAGGCACAGCAGCAGTATTGTTTTGTGCTGAATTGCGAGTTGCGTTGTGAGAGAACAAGATGCACACTTGCTTTCGTAGGTTTATGCATTTGTTTGTTGTCATCGAGGTAGGCACTGCCACAAACTCCATAGACATCTTTCTAATTACATCATAATCATCATTACCAGATGGTAATAGCACACAAGTGACAACAAAAAAGAGCAAGTCTAATACAGGTCGACTTTAATCCCCCTTAAATTTTTTGGTCTATCATTATCAAAAGGTCAGGGCTAGACTTAAGCTTTTATTATAATAGGCCTGAGTCAGGTCCGATACAATGATGATATATTAGCCCAGAACGAGAAAGATTAACACCACTGTATCTCGTTTTAATTTGAATATTTAATGGCTGGGCATGATGGCTTGGGCCCAAGCAAAAAGCCCAAATCCGAAGTCGCCAATTTTTCTATTTGGTCGAAGAACGACAATCCAGGGTAAACAAAATACTTTCTACATTTTTAGTATTCTTCTAACTGAAAATGTGGATTGGTCCATGAAATCCAGACTTTTTTTGGTGCAATAAAGGCTGGTCTAATTAAAAAGAATTTAACCAATAATTTATAAAATCGATCAGATCTTGTTATTGATGTAAAAGCCTTATTAATAGATAATTTATAAGTATTCTTATAAATGCTCTTTAAACTTGAAAGCATATCTTAGTCTTATCAAGCCTCTAAGACAGAATTCACCATTACTTTCCTATACCTGAAAAAAAAAAAAAGAAATGTCATCTCTTATTAATCTTAGCCATACATTTCTCAAGAATTCTATATTAATGCAATTAAAGAACTCAAAAATATTTTGATGTGATGAATCATATAAAAAGTTCCCCACAATTGTATATCGATTTCGTAAAAGAAAAAAAATGTATATGGACAATATTGTTTTGTGACTGATGATATAAATAAGGGTAATTAAATTTTAAGTATTTCAAATTCTTTTGTTATCGGTTTGATCTTTAAAGTTTAAATTTTATAAACCAAATCCTAAAGTTTCATAAATATACAAAATTCCACCACATGTGTGTCTATCTAGTTTTATGTTACTACCAAAAATATAGTTGGTTAATGATAATTCTATCAATAATTAGCAAAAGAAAAAATCCATCACTAATCGATAATTCTATCACTAATTTTTGGGATAACATATTCTAACTTAGCGATAGATTAGTGATAGAAATTCTGTGACAAATTAGCGATGGATTAGCAACGGCATTTCTGTGGTAAATTAGCGATGGATTAGCAACAAAAATTCCGTGGCAAATTAGTAATAGAATGTCTATCACATTTATTTGTCAATCAGCGATAGAAATTCTGTCACAATTTCGTTGCTAATTAAAAAAAATTGTGTATGATTTTTGAATTTTTTATTATATTTAGAGGTAGCATTTTTTATATACCTAAATATTTGTTGATTCTATTAAAATCAATGTAAAACAAGCAATTTAAATTTACTAAATAATTATACCATAGATCAAACATTTCAAATTTACTAAAATAGCATAACTCAATAGCAAATTAAAATAATAATGTCACAAAGTCTACAGAAAATTACAAAACAAGTCATAACAGGAGACAACTAATAAGTATTCTTTTTGCTCAAGATCCCTCATTATTTTTAGAATTTGAATTTTCAAAGTTCTTTGATATTTTTTGCTCCAATGCTTCCAACCTAGACAAGATATACATATTCAATTCTTTAAGATCTTTATTCTCTTGTCTAAGCTTAGTGACTAGCTCTTGTTGCTCTTGTCTAAGTTCTATGACTATCCTCCTTCGCAATTACTCTTCAAAATCAAGATGAAGCCTTGAGTTATTGATGGATGAAGAGGACTTATATGAATGAGAGGTAGAATCAATATCCAAAGCCTTGGATCCTAACCCATATATGCAGCCTGTAACACCTTGTCCTACTATCTAAACACTTAGCAACAATTATTAAAAAATAAACGCCACACTGACTTTATTTAATTCAAAGCTTTTTTTTTTTACATCATAAATTTAACATATAACCAAATTCTAGAAATCTTAATCTAAGCCAGTTTATGGTGGACTATCATTCAATAACTAAAAGCAAATAGATTAAAAGGAATATGGTCTAAAAACGACAAAAGGCCCTATAATCATGGCGAAAAGTAAATATAATCTCGCATGTGCTGTGAGGAGTACGAGAGCCAAAGGCTCATTCCTCCGACACCTTCCCTTGATTCTTACTTAGGCTTTCTCTTGAAAAATGTTAAAGAAGGGGTGAGCACTAGCGTCTCAGTAACCTAAAATTTAACCATACATGCACAAACTACAACCACACAATTATACAACCAATATACAAGTGAGTTCATAAGAATCATTTAGTGATAACATAAAAATTTCATACGGTATAGCTCATAACATGTCATTATGCAGTACCAAAAGTCTTCCTTATTACTCCATCCATCCTTATTCTGCTTATTAGAACCATAGGTTTAAATATGGTTTGGCCCACACGTTAGGCTAACCAAGCTTCTCCAGTGTTTGAGATATACCCGGCCAAAGGTACAGAGCCCAAGCCCAAACTATGGCTCCCCTCCTTGAAAAAAACCCCAATCAGGAGGTGTCACAGTCCCACATTCTCCCTTTACAAATCCGGCCAGGTAAGTATTGAGGAACGGGGCTTTAAAAAAGGCCAACCACTGTGCGCATAGTGGAGGCGAACCACGTGGTCATCTAAAGCATATATACATCAACATCATCATCTTCTCATCAACCCATCCCCTAATGCCTGCCGCACATACACAAAATTCACATGGCATACAAGCATGCTTGAAAAGAATATAAATATCTCATTCGATCAACTAGATTTACAAGCATGTTTGAAAGAAATAAGCTACTCTTAAACAATATACAATTTCCATCAAACAAACATTATTAATATGCATTTACAAGTATGCTTGAAAAGAAACACCCACAATAACATATAGCCAAGCTACAAGCATGCTTGACAGCATTCAGTAACATATGAAATTCTCACAATTAAATTTACGATTATACGCATTTGTTATAAAATACAGAGCTTGCACACATATGGAAAAACCTCAAGTTACCTGTCCTCCTTGAGCTAACAAGTAGTCCCACAACAAAAATTCAGGCAATTAAAAGCTCTTAGTGAGATTCTACAGAAATCACATACATACAAAAATATTTAGATATAATTTAAAGTTATTAAATATTATCATAAAACCATTTGAGGTGACTCCAGAATTACTCTAGATCTTAAAGCTATCCTTAAAGATTTTAAAATTTTTCCCTCTTTTTTTCCTTTTAAATTAGACTATTAAGTGTTAATCTAGATTTTTATTATCCAAAATAGATATAAGGCTATAGGATGTCTCTGGAATAGTATCACTTGAGTAAGTAAGTCATGAAGCAAGCTAATATTATTATATTATATATGTATATACAAGATGAAAGCCCTTGAAAAGCAAAGGACGTGAGAGAAAGAAGAACTAATATTATATATGTATATAATTTAAAGGCTAGAGTAAAGAAAAGTAGAAGGGAGGAATGACGTGATGGACTTTTCACGTACTGTGTGTGTGAGCAGATATTCCTCATATATATGTATAAGGCACGGGAGGAGGAAACCGAAAGAGATGAGAGGAACGACAAAGAGGAATACCTGCGAGAGAGAGCTCTTGAAAAATAGTAGGCAGCCGCATCTAGGGAAGAGTGAATGAAACTAAATAAATAGAGGTAGGGTTTTTACTAGGTATATAAATTTAAGCTTATAATATATTTTTTTTCCTTGTTATTATTATTATTATTTAAATACTTATATCTATCAAGATAATTTTCAGAGGATATGATATATTTTAAAATTTAACAAAATTATCTAAAATATTATTATTTTAATTAATTTTTTTTAAAAGTTAGTTTCAAACATTTATTAAATTTAATTGTCTTAGTTATTAACATTTATATATATATA